AGAAGACAGATCTGGACTTCAGGCAGGGCAGTCAGAACTTTGTGCTCTATAATCATGACACACATGACCTCTGCCTTTACTTTTTCCTAAACGTTTAAACATTTTGATTTCAGTATTTTCTATGATAAACAAATACAATTTATTTTGTTAAATTTATAATTTGAAATTTGAAATTATAAATTTAACTTGAATGCATTTTAAGGAAAAGTCTTCTGGACATGTAGCTTCTGTAAAGTGAAATAAATACAGCTTGTATTTTTTGTTATTCACTTTTAGGTTATATAAGTTTATCTAAGTACAATAAATTATCAACCAGTAGTTAGGTTCAATTTTGCACACAGACTGCTAACCTGACTCTGTGTAAGGGGAATAAAATTCTACCTCTGAGAGCTAGCAAGACTGACCAATTGCCCAAGGATATCTGAAGCTTTTAGTCCGGGTAAAATAAAAGATTTAAACCTGCAGAGCCTCTTGCACAGTTTCAGAGAACTAAGGCTATGTGCACGAGTTCATGTGCCCTTTTGATATGATGTTAACCTAATCCAAGCTGCCGTCTCCGTCTTCATACTTGATGCACTTTATGAGAGTGCTATTGATCCTTTGTGTAACTGTGAGTAATAAAATGAATAAAGGTAGCTCCCAAAAGTTCTACTGCTGTCTTTAATGAAAGAAACTGATTTTTTTTGCACCCTTGAGGTGTGAAGTGGTCACTTTTACCACAGTGGTGGCTTGATTAGATGAAGGGGACACACATGGACATCACTGTTCATTTGGTGGGAGCACAACTAAAGGTGTTGGGTCACTGCTGACTATGTGATAGGGGTCTGATTTAGCTTCAGGAAAATTCTATTTGTTAGATGTAATTGTAGAGGCCTGTGTTCAATAAAGGGGCCAGTCCCGGAAAGAGTTGTTAACGTAGGTATTTGTAACACTAAGCTTCGACATGTGTCTCTAATTAATACAACAGCCTGATTTTTGCATACTGCTCATCTTCCATATTGTGTAGAGCACATTAAGTGATACATAAATTTTACATAGGCTTAAACAATCACCTACACATGCAGTTATCACACCTCCATCCTGAAATTATCACCTAATTAAAGATGGCTCAGTACAGGCAAATAATTGCTCAAACTCACAGGAGACACTGAATCAAACAATAGCAGACTGTGTACATCAAACCTATTTCCACCGGCTCCACCCGGCACACCATCAATGCTGTGAACGAGGATTTGATTTAGTAATGCAATTATTCAGTCAATAATTTGATTCTATATTAGGGTTGAATTTGGAAAGGAAGAGTGTGAGTATGCAGTTACACTGAGTAGAACCAAAGATTCATTAGCGAGAGGATCCATAACTCAGGGGACAAAGGAAGTGCTGAACTAACACTACAACTCATTCCCACATGTAACCTGATAACGCACCACCGATGCCAAAGGCAGAGCACCACACAAACAAAGGAGCTTAGCAACTGGGGGCAGCAAACGCTGGTTAATGCCAAACCAACCACTCAGCCAAAAGATTGAAAGAAAAAAAAAAGATCTCACCTCACTGACTTTCTCACCTTCAGTCATTATCTTAACTCAACTGAGCTCAATTTAGCCGGGGTAATCACTGGCCTCCGTCTACAGCACATCAGATTAAAAAGACTATTCTGAACCACCTTATATGGAGCGAGGCCGGAACAATTTCACAACAGGATGGTATCAATCAGACACGAGCGAGGCCAGAAACTGACAGCTGATAAACCAATGCTGTGGTGTTTTGTTCTGTTTTTTAAAGAAAAAAAAATGTAGATGCGTTTGACAAGTGTTTAGTGGACAGATTCATGGTCCATTTATTGCTACACATTATGTATGTGTTACTTCTGAATCACCACTGTTACATTCCATTAAAATTCATATTTCCTTATAAATCCATGTTCAGTGAAACATGTGCTCTGACATATTTCCAACACTACATAACTGTGCAGTTGTAACACGTTGAGAAAATCTTAGTCATCTTTCCTTTCCTTGCCAAGCTCTTATCTTTAGTCATGACACTTAAGAGCTCAATATGTTGAACACAGTCAGTTAAAAACGCACACACACACGCAGACAAAGAGTCCAGTGCACACTTGGAACAATGGAACATTCTTGGACCCCATTTCTGAGACTTCCTGACGTCAGCTGTTGTGATATACGATCGTTTTTGCCGTGTGTCCGGTGTAAAGCAGACAGCACACACTGGCTACAGGGTGATTCACAGGCTAATGTATCAAGAGCTCTCTCCAAGAGACATCTGCTTTTAATCACAGAAAACAGGCTTTATTTATGTTGCGCTGAGACTTTCTTGAGAAACACAGTGCCAAGCACACAAAACCACCAGGTAAATAGAGATGTCCACGTTTCATGACGCAGTTAGGAAGAAGGTCAGGCCGAGTGTTTTCTCAAGAATTGTACAAAGCAATGATCAACACTGGGTCCGATTTACTTTGTTTTAAAGACACTGTTTTATGGGTTACTCGTGAGCCACATAGTTGCATTTCCATAGTGCTAAGTGATTTGCAATGGACCCTGGTGTCATTGACCATTTATGGTCTGCTCACTTACTAACATGCAGGGAGGCAGTGATCAGTAACAGCGGTTCCTGGCTACCAAATGCTAGCTGAGTATCTCACAACTAGTGTACCAATGCAGTTCCCTGGCAACACACAGCGAAGTGTGAAGCCTGGGGGCCAAAAGCATCACATCCTATTAGAGTGCACTCCCACTAGGACGTTACTGCACAACTGCCCCTAGATTGAAAGATTTTTGGGGTAGTGTGAGTGCTGTGTGTGTGTGTGCACACCACTCAAAACACACATTGTTCCACATGCATATCAGTCAGATGCTGCTGAAGATATGTTGCTGCATCATTTTTCTGGTTGACAGCAGCTCACAGTAATGGCGACATCGTGTTGAACAGAAGGCTGACTAGTTTCAAAATAATTCACAAAACAGTCATTGACTTTTTTCCCCGTCAGATTCGCTCTCGATCACGCTGCTTTAACTGCATATAAACAATAGTCACTGACGTATGTGGCGGATGCAACCCGGCATTAGCTCGCCTCCCTTTGGGGTAATGTGAGTGCGGGTCAAAGGAGGACCAGGGACAGGGGCAATTGATGCTTTAGTATGGAACAACTGGACAAAGTTTGAGTTCAACCTCAAACTCCTGATAAAAGTCCTAAAGGATCAATGTCCCTCTAATCAAAGGTCCCTGACTCCAGGATCCCTTTATGAGGTCATCAGCCCATACTCCATTATTGCACATTGCAGGTTCTCAAGTGACTCACAAAGTTTTAGGAAAGAATATTGAGGAGGTGTGTTAACAAAAGAGTTCAGCAGCACGAGTGTGGGTTATTACTCTTAAATGATAAGTCTGCTTTAGTTTAGTTAATTAGGCCTGATAGCGGATGAAAACTCTGCTTTGAAAAAAGCTTTGCTGTTTACAAGGCACTTTTGCCATTTACTATAAACTATTTAATTTGCTATCAAATTTATTTTTCTATCACAATTTTAAGTTCATTATTAGCATAGTATGATAGTACACTATTGTATGACGTACTTTCATTATTAGCATAGTATGATAGTACAGTATTGTATGACGTATATAGTACACAAGTTTTCCCAACTATTCTATTTACTACATTTTTAAATGTAGCCAAATGTTAAAGATATCTGAGTTGGCCTCAAACAAAATGGAGGCTGGCCTTCCACCAAACACTTGTACTACTTTAAAGCTTAAATGAACAAAGCCATACTTGAAGGCTGGAATGACACCTGACTGGAAAGTCTATTCAACACACTCTATAAAGTATTTAACATTTCCTGCAGCTATGATTTGTCAGTCAGCATGATGAAGCAGTTTGACTTAATGTCCTTGCATTTTATTCATGCGTCATTTCTATTCAGCTTAGGACATGGGTCAGAGAAATTTGTTGCACCAATTTCCT